AATTATTTTATCCACCCCATCAAGTCAAAAAAAAAACCAAAAAAAAAACAAGTGTACTTTAATGCGGTTTTGTTTTATGTTTTGCTGTTGTCCTTGATCACGACCAACTTGGTTTGACTTCCGGTTCAACTGTTAACATTCATTAGTTCAAATAAATTTCCTTTGTTTTTTTTTTTGTTCTCTTTGTTGTTGGTTTTTTTTTAATTTACAAAATGTCTCATCACGAAAGGGAAAGCTTAGCCTTGGACGGTATCATCAAACTACGGTTTCCTAATTGGGGTCCAAGGGTATTATAAAGTATAATCCTCTAGGTTTCAAGATGCAAGGGCTAAACCAGAGGTTCTCAACCTTTCTAATGCCGCGACCCTTTACTACAGTTCCTAATGTTGTGGTGACCCCCCCCCCCCCACAAACCAAACAATTATTTTCGTTGAAACTATATACACTGTAGTGCATTTGTGTTTCCAGATGGTCTTGGGCGACCCCTGTGAAAGGGTCGTGCGATCCCCAAGGGGGGTCGCGACCCACATGTTGAGAACCGTTGGGATAGCCTATTTCTCCCAACGGTCCATATCTCCTCAATCTGCATCATGGAATGATACAATTAAATAAAATTTGAGGCTAAAAAAAGCTACTTATTTTGTATATTTCCTTGAGATGGTGCTACGGCACTCTCCACACGTGCGAATTCTGCCACTGCACCCACCCACACGCCTGCCACTGCAGCCAACCACGCCCCTGCCACAGCACCCACGACACCCCCCTTCCCCTTTGCTCTAAAATGGAGACATGGATTTCTTTTTGAGAACAATGGCGTCATCGGAGAATGTTTGTTTTTCTGTCCCGAGGCGTCCATTACACCCTAGACAACAACAACAGCAGCAACAGCAGCAGCAACAACAACAACAACAGCACTAAATAATGCGCATCACCCCGTTTCATTTCGTCCGCATCAACCCCTCCCCCCCCCCCACACACACACACACACACGCGCGCGCGCGAGAGAAAGAGTTCCCCCCCAAATAGAACCTCTCATCTTCGGGGCGCTGTTTGGAGCGCGGGCGATGAACGCAAACAATCGGGCGCCCCCCACCCCCCCCCCCCTCCGAAGCTACAAACAGATCATCCAAACAACTAATAAACAAGGGCGCTGTTTTCTGTTGGCGGCTCCGTGTTATCCGCCCGCCCGTGCAATCCCCCTTACCCCACCCCCGGGGGCGTATAAATACACGAGATTCTCGTCCCCGGTCTCGTCTTTTCGTTGTTTATAGTCCCAGCATGTTCTGTATATTTACCGTTTCGATACAAGGGTCCGGGCGAATAACGGGATCAAATAAGTAAACGCATGACATTCCCCGGTATCGGTACTCGGTCAGGCCGACTGGGAGTTCGATTACTCGCTTTGCATTGCTCGAGGATGGCTCGATACCAGCTTCCGTCATCTGCCTGATCCATCAGCCGTTTTGGTCGATATCACTTTCAGAACTTTGGGGGCCCAGCGATACCGTGACACCACCTTCAGAACTTTGGGGGCCCAGCGATACCGTGACGTGATTGCTTTAAAACCGCCAGCGATATCGCAACATTGTTGTGTTGTTCGTTCGTTTGTTATCGTCTGCTGAAAATTGTTGTGAGTGGGATTTTTTGAGGCAAATTCTCTGGGTCCCCCCAAAAAAAGTTGACTTCTTTCTTTCAAATGCCCGAGATGAGAATGTGCGATTTGGGGGAAATGTGCGCAATGTGATTAGAAACTGCGCCCTAGAAATCATGGTATTACCAAGTACGCAAGCAAATAAAGCAACGCATTTTTTATATTTATGTTGTTGTTGTTGTTGTTGTTTTTTAACCAACATGTATTTTCAACAGGTGTTTTGTCAGCGTTGGTTTTTTTTGTCAGTGATGTCAGTGACGTCAGTGATGTCAGGGAAGTTTCTTCAGATCAAAAGTTTTCATTTTGACATCCCTTTGGTGAAGAGATTATTTGTGGAAATCTTGGCTGCGAACATCTTATTGGTGGAAATCTGGATGGCGAAAATATTATTGGTGAACAATTTTTTAAAGTGGCTGTCACTATATTGTAAACATCTTATTGGTTCAACATCTTCGAACATAATGTTTAAATTATTCTTTTGGGCCCTGACTTTTGAATTGCTTACGTTATTTAATTGCATCACAATAATTTTCTCGGTTTTGTCTGCCAGAACAACTTTCCTAAAAGAATAATAGATTAAGTGTGTGGCCGTCTGGTAAGAATTATTACAGTAAACGATTTTTTTGTTTTAAATTGGGGAGGTTTAATAAACAAGTATGACGTCACAGCTCGATTGGTGTATGACTCACAAGTTTTTTTAAAAAAAGGGGGGGGGGTAGATTGATTATGATTATGACCATTGGTGGAAAAAAGGGGGTGGGGGTAAATTCCGGTTAATCTCTGCAGACAGACTAACTCTACATCATTGAACTTCCTCCAGTCTCTGCCAATAAAAAAAAAATCGAATAGGGAAAACCCTGAAAGAAGGCGAAACGAAACAACGAAAGCGTCGGCGAAAAGCTTCCCCCCCCACCCCCCCCCCCCCCCCCCCCCNTGTGCATAGGTCTTTGAACTTCATCTGACACCCATGTGTGCATAGGTCTTTGAACTTCATCTGACACCCATGTGTGCATAGGTCTTTGAACTTCATCTGACACCCATGTGTGCATAGGTCTTTGAACTTCATCTGACACCCATGTGTGCATAGGTCTTTGAACTTCATCTGACACCCATGTGTGCATAGGTCTTTGAACTTCATCTGACACCCATGTGTGCATAGGTCTTTGAACTTCATCTGACACCCATGTGTGCATAGGTCTTTGAACTTCATCTGACACCCATGTGTGCATAGGTCTTTGAACTTCATGTTTACGGTACTCCACGGGTACACATTTATCATTGGCGTAGTTTGCCTCGGTTCTGCTTGTGACTCGTCAATCAAGAAATTATTTCAATATCTTTCCCGCGGAGTGCGGCTCTACCAGTCGACTCCTCTATGTTGAACGAAAATATATTGGAGCACATACCAGCACAATCACGGAACCCTTCAGTGGTGTCATCATTTGTAAAACTTTTGAAATTTTCAAGAGCCTTGGTAAGGGGCAAAGGGGGGGGGGATGTCGACGGGGGGTGGGGGGTAGGAGAATCGGTTCAACGTGCTCCAAGGTGGTGAACTTTCCACACCCCACACCCTATCTCACACCCTCACTTTTTTTCGTCACCCCACCAACCACCCCCCTTCCCATCACGCAACTTGTTGATTGTGGTCTATGTTCAGTTGTACGACGCACCCCTCATTCTCCTTTAGTCTGATGTCAACATCTGAGTAATCGCGCGAGCTCGTCTATCGAACGAACCCTAGAAGCCCGGCTCGTTTTTTGAACAGCGTAGATTCGAACACATGGCTCCGTCGGTTTAGTCTAGAGTATTTCTAGTAGAGGGTATTTTAAGCTGGATGAGCTCAAAAGTAACACTGTGTATTTGATAGGCTTTTTGTTTTTCATTTTCAGTTCTCTTTTCATTTTAAACGTCCTTGCAAACTAAATTGAATCGAATGACGTCATAGACTTTAGGCTTTTTATTACTGTACTACATCGTATGACGTCATAGACTCCATTGGTTTTTTATTGCTGTCGTTACAACCCATGACGTCAAAGACTCTGGGCTTTTATAACTGTATAACGTTATTCGAGGAGATCTGCTGATGTCGGCTTAACCTTTAAAAAATTGACTCGAACGAAGAATAAGGTAGATACTGGAACTATTTTGGTGTAATATTGTGGATATTGGAACCAGTGGCGTAGCTAGGGTTGATGTCACCCAGTGCGGTAAACTCAAGGTGTCCTCCCCCCCCCCCTCTCCCTCGTCTTCCACGGCTGATTTCTTCTTGTTAAAATAATTTTACAGTTCAACTATGGCATGAAAAAAATACAAATTAATTGAAGGTCAGGAGTTATAAGTTATTTTTACATTCAATTTACTTTAACATTTTCCTTTCCTGGACTTCAAAGCTGCAAACCTGTCAAACACTTGATCAAAATCAATATCCTTTACCGTATCACTTTCAAATGATGGCAGAGCCAATTCAGAAAGCCTTGACTGCCCCATGGTGGATCGTAAATAGTTCTTGATAAGCCTTAGTTTTGAAAAGCTCCGTTCATATCATGAAGCCAGAGACACACAGATCGTAAGAAACAATTGAAGGCTTAGCGGGAACATTGCAAGAGACTCTAGGAAGTTTCAGTCGGCTATCAATTTCAAAACATGAAATACTGACTAATCCATGACTTTGTGAAATTCAATATCAGCTGCCTGTAGATGTCTTCTAGGCCTTGGCATTTCTTTTAAAGTTCATCTTCTGATAACTCATCATAGAAATAGGTTCATTTTGGAACGGACTCCAACAACTCTTTTTCCCTTGCTGATAGTAGACTTTTGGGTTGAACAGCCCGAAACATATCTGCTACTTTATTGATCGCTGATAATCTTAACTTAGATTATCAATTAGAATTAGTTAACTCTGGGGTAGAGTGTGGTTGGGTGGGGGGGGTGGGGGTTACGTCTTATAACTTGGTTACACTATCTCCAAATCCGGTTTGGGATGTCACACGAAGAAATTTCTTCTTTACCACATTTCCAAGAAATTTGAAATTCTCCAAATTTGGCATTAAAAAAAACTAAAACAAAAACAAATGTTAAAAAGCCTAAAGCATGCAACTCTTACTACTCCTTACTCTTGCCAACAAAGTTAACTCCCCTTCTAATGGCTATTTGTCTCTCCCTCTTTCTTCAGATCGCTATGAGCGACATAGCCCTACGCCGGGCACTCGGGCACGGCGCCCGGGCACTGCGGCATACACGGGCGATGTTCACGACATCCCCGACCCACGAAGCGGCGGCGGCGGCGACGACGACGACGGTGAACGCCACGACGCCCCCCGCCGATGTGGCGCCCTCGTACACCCCGGCGGCAGATATCAAGCCGTTCGGGGATCTTCCCGGCCCCAAGGGCTGGCCCATATTCGGATCGTTCCCAGAATACTTTAAGAAAGAGAACCAGGGCCAGATGCACGAACTGATGGTGAGTATAGTAGACACTTTCTCGGTGGGCTCTTCCCTTCCCTTCAGCTTATCATTAGTATCCTGTGCTTATCATTATCTTATCATCACTGCCACCATTGGGCTTATCATTATCACTACCACCATTGGGCTTATCATTATCACTACCACCATTGGACTTATCATTATCACTACCACCATTGGACTTATCATTATCACTATCATCTCTTGATTGACCATATAGGTTTTCAACATAACTTAAAATACAGAGTATGATCTTCTACACAGAGTATGATCTTCTACACAAATTGTTTACCGGAAAGTTGTTTGAAAGAAATTTCGTCGACGGAAAATTGACCGACGGAAATTTGATCGAACGGAACGTTAGGTCGAATTTTTTTCTTCAGTTCACGCGATCAAATTTTCGTCAAATTTCTTTTTAACCGCACTATACCATGTAGTAAAACAAAATAATGCGTTCCCAAAGAAATTTGAAAGTCAGATCTAGTGAACTGAAAATAAAGTTCGACCAAACTTCCGTTCGATCAAATTTTCGTCGATCAATTTTCCGTCGACGAAATTTCTTACCAAAAAATTTTCGAATCCGAAAAAAATTACGGTGGTCGTATATTGGTATGGTTTATACTTCATTGCTTATCCCCGTACGTACAAATTATACCCCCCCCCTCCCCGCTAGCGATATGTCACACTGAAAGGAAAATGGGGGGATGGGGGACAACACAAAGGTCAACTCTGCCACACAGAAAACTAACACTTTGAGTTCAAGGCTATTGTTCTCTAAACCCCCCCCCCTTACCCCCACCCACTCTTTTTTTCCCCACACCAGGCCTAAACTTTAACTTGACTTTCTTTCCTCCCTTTCAAGAGTCTGACTCTGCCCCCCCCCCCCTTCCTCAACCCCACACCACCGGCAGCGACCCCAGGAACACGATCCCACGACCATCAACCGACGACAGACCCCTTGAAACACTTTTGGCCTGTTCAACAGGTCCCGATACCACTGACGTGATGACGGCAGCCTCGCATTAAAAGATCAGTTGACACAATCAGGACATTATGAGTTGATCGTGGGACTTTCCTTTTGGATCGTCAATGGTTTGCCACGATGGTAAGGGGGGGAGGGGGGACGCGAGAAGGGGCATCATGGAAGCAGAGTTAGGGGAACAAGACATGGGACGGGCATCATAGAAGCAGAGGTAGGGACCAAGACATGGGACGGGCATCATAGAAGCAGAGGTAGGGACCAAGACATGGGATGGGCATCATAGAAGCAGAGGTAGGGACCAAGACATGGGACGGGCATCATAGAAGCAGAGGTAGGGATCAAGACATGGGACGGGCATCATAGAAGCAGAGGTAGGGATCAAGACATGGGACGGGCATCATAGAAGCAGAGGTAGGGATCAACACATGTGATGGGCATCATAGAAGCAGAGGTAGTGACCAAGACATGGGACGGGCATCATAGAAGCAGAGGTAGGGATCAAGACATGGGACGGGCATCATAGAAGCAGAGGTAGGCATCAAGACATGGGATGGGCACCATAGAAGCAGAGGTAGGGATCAAGACATGGGATGGGCATCATGGAAGCAGAGGTAGGGATCAAGACATGGGATGGGCATCATAGAAGCAGAGGTAGTGACCAAGACATGGGATGGGCATCATAGAAGCAGAGGTATGGATCAAGACATGGGATGGGCATCATAGAAGCAGAGGTAGGGATCAAGACATGGGATGGGCATCATGGAAGCAGAGGTAGGGATCAAGACATGGGATGGGCATCATAGAAGCAGAGGTAGGGATCAAGACATGGGATGGGCATCATAGAAGCAGAGGTAGGGATCAAGACATGGGACGGGCATCATAGAAGCAGAGGTAGGGATCAAGACATGGGACGGGCATCATAGAAGCAGAGGTAGGGATCAAGACATGGGATGGGCATCATGGAATCAGAGGTAGGGATCAAGACATGGGATGGGCATCATGGAAGCAGAGTTAGGGATCAAGACATGGGAGGGGCATCATGGAAGCAGAGTTAGGGGATCAAGACATGGGGCGGGTATCAGTCATGAACGGTGCAACACCTCCCCCTTTCCCCAACACTTAATCCGTGCCTAACACTACACCCCCCCCCCTTTGCATAACGCTACACCCTTGCCCAACACAATGCCCCTTTTCTCACACTTCACTCCCTCCCCCTCCCCCTAACCACACCCCCACCCTACCACTTAACATTCTGCCAACAATGCACCTCACATCTCACATCCCGTTGCTTGGTTCCCCCCGCTCCCTGCTACGCCCCCTGCCCCCCCCCCATCTATGAGACACCAGCCATCACTTAGCACCCCCAGCTAATGTTTCTTAACCAAAAAAAATCTGCCCCCCCCCCATCTATGAGACACCAGCCATCACTTAGCACCCCCAGCTAATGTTTCTTAACCAAAAAAAAACACGTAGCTCACCTCACACCCCCATATCCCATAACACGGGACCCATCTCCAGCTCCCCCACAATTTCCACACACAAGACCCAGCAGGTATATCACAGCCACCAGTGTACTTCATCGCATTGAAAGAAACCTTTGTGTTCCCACCTTCATAAGTCACATGACTCACACCAGAGGGCGCGCAGACTCGAAGACTTAAAAAAAAACCTAACTGCTTTAACAAATTATACTCTCTAAGCGAACCAGGAAATAAGTGTCTATAAAAGTTCAGTTGTGGTTACAAAGTATTGCTGCAAGTTCTTTAACAATTCAACTGCGCCTTAACAGAAACTGTTTCATTAAGACGGTAGATCAATCCTTGTGTAGTTTGAGATCCCTTGTACCGACATTAATATCTGCTGAAGCGTGACTGAGCAGGACGCTCTTGCACGACCGCTCACGAAGAGCGGCGTCCAAGACCCCGGTCCGACGTATTCGTAACCGTTAAAGTCAAAACCAGGATCAGGGACCACCCCATTGATAAGCAATGGACGCGGATTGGCCTGGCTCGTGAAACTCCCCACGTGTCCGGGAGCCACTTGTACAAATTGGCCCGGTTGTGAAACCGACCAGGCTGGGCAGAAGTCTATTCGAGCAAGATCTTCCCGCCGCCGCGGCGCTGCCAAAACTCCGGTCAGACGTCTACCCAAGTTAGAAGCTGCCACAGTCAAAACTGTCGGAAACAGCGGGGCATGCGCCACAAAACCAGCCTTTCACCTTCCGTGGGACTTCGACTCTCTCCGTTAGCGACCGGCACCAGTGTCCTGAGCGCAGGAACAGGCCAGCGCAATGGGGCACAGAACACCGAGACACGACCCAGGGCCCACCCCACCGGCCAGGATCACGACCCAGGGCCCACCCCCCCGGCCAGGAACAGGAGGCAACGACCCCCGGGACGCCCGCGGGTCACACCCCCCCCCCGCGGCGCCAGGATCCCGCAGGATCTAGACTTCTTCTTCTTCTATATCTTAAGGGCCCACGATCAATTTATTGATCATTTTGGCTCCTATAGTCCATGAACGATCGCCACACTCTTTGCCGAAGACGAAACCACACTCTACCACTACCTCACCGTCTTCACCGGGTACGGCAAGCCGTAACAACGGCAAGCCGTATCGTGCCCGGCTCTGGTGACTTCGTCGCTCTTCTCGGTGCCTGAACCACCTTGTCACTTCTTAACCAGATTAGAACAACTGAGATTTGTAATTTTCCATTAAAAAAAAAGAATATATTATTTTCGTCCCTTCTTTTTTAATTCCCCGGTTCGTTCTGGCGCCCCCCCCCCCCCCGGGCTAGAGTACGTCCTCGTGTTAAGTTTGTTATGGTGCGCACCGCCAGTGTGCATTCTGGAGTGAAGTTCGTTGTGGCGTGCACCGCCAGTGCGCCTTCTGGAGTGAAGTTAGTTGTGGCGTGCACGGCCAGAGCGCCTTCTGGAGTGAAGTTCGTTGTGGCGTGCACCGCCAGTGCGCCTTCTGGTGTGAAGTTCGTTGTGGCGTGCACCGCCAGTGTGCCTTCTATTATGAAGATTGTTTTTCGTCTGAGTTCCCTTCAGTTTCACCTTTCACTCACACAACCTGGACACACTTTTGCACTCCTCCCTCCTTTTTCACGCAACGTGAATACACTTATGCACCCCCCACCAACCCCCGCGACCCCTTTTCAAGTATTATAGTATTATATATATAGTTATTTACTCTTGTCGTAACGGGTCAGTAAGTTAATGTTGGCACCTCGCACTTACCGCGCACCGACAAACTTGAACGGTTATCATTGTATACGTGGGTTGATTATCTTCACATTGGCGCGGCTGAGTGCTGTGCACTGCGATATATTTTTTTTTTTGGAGGGGTTTGTTTGAAAATAAATTTAAAGATTTTTGGGCTGGCTATTTTTGGCCGGTGCTCTCGGTGCTCTCAACTTCCCCCCCCCCCCCCCCCCCCCCTTCTTTTTTTTTTTTTTTTTTTTTTTTTTTTTGCGCCCTCCTCGAGATCATTTCGATTTATTGCTGGTAATATGTTTTTAATGCGGGCTCAAACGGAGCACTCCGTTTGATTCTTGTTTGGGTGTTGGGGCAAAGATGATAAGATGTGCCTAAGTGCTGACACGAATCAACTTCAGTGGGATCTTTCATTGGATTTTTTTTTTCGTTTGTCAAGCATAAATTTTGGAAGCATCGCGAGCAAAGAATTCAACATAAAATTTTAAAATCCCAACCTAAAGAAGAAAAAAAATTAAAAAATGTTAATATACGTATAGAATTTTTTTGGGAAAAAATAGCTTTTTACATTTAATGCGGTGGCTCTCAATCATGACTCACTCGCAGGTTGTCTGCTGATAACTTAGGGATCACGTGACAATGTCAGAGTTTTTTTTTTGGCGGAAATGGTTTTTTTTTTTTTTTTTTAAATCTTCTTTTTTACGGTGATCAAAGGTGTTGGACTGCGATAAAGCTTTAAAATAGATACGTTAGACACGAACAATTTTGTGTCAATAGAACACTATAAGTTAGGCTTTAATAATAATTTTTCATAATCAC